CGATAATCTTGAGTTTCATGAAGTGAAATCAAGCTCAACATTTTCTCGAACCATACAAATTTGTAGAGAATTAAATCTTCTACAAAGGAATATGCTTGAGTGCACGATAATTCTCTCTTACTGAATATGATAAGCACCTATTTTCACAAGTATAGTTTACAGTGGAGAAAGAAGAAAAAAAGTTGTCGTTCTGTTGCTTTATATATGCCGAGCCAGTGAATGAAGAAAAGAAAAATACAAATATCCATACGCCATGCATATCAAGTGACAGAAGGATTTTTTTTCTTCTTTCTCCACCATAAACCAGATTCGACAAGATACATTCTTACCAAATTCAGGAAAAATAAATATTCGTGGACTCAAACGCATCATTTCGTAGAGAATTTAATTCTGTACAAGCCTGTATTGTTCGTAGAAATTTTAAGTTTGATTTCGCTTCCTAAAAACTAAGACCATCGAAAAACCTGCATGAAATATGTATTTTAATTAGCAGTTAATATGTCTTTTATACAGAGTGTGACAAAAGTCATCTACCAAAAAAAATCGTATATTTTCATTAGGATTTCACTGAATGAACTGGAATTTATTCTATCAATATAAAACACTTCAAAGTTTTATTTCATAAATATAATGTTCATAAGTACTCCTGAAAAGCGGCACTTTTAGACTCAATACGCAAAAAAGTTCTTTTAACGATTTTCGGGAAACAATATATAGTTTTTTTTGTAATTTTTCGAAGCTGTTTTCTTTATATGTCCTTCTCTTGTTACATCAACATTTCTTTGAGATCTGTAGCACACTAGACACATCGATGTCAAATTTGGTGATTACGAAAGTCCTAAAATGGCGCCAGTTTACTTAGTTCAGTTTACATTCAAGTTTCTGATGAACGATGAACAAATCACTCTGAAGAAATACACTAATCACTCTAACTTTTTCTAAAGCGTTAAATAAATGTTTCTAAATCCAGGAAAGAGAAACGTAGATAATTAATAGTCTACGATAATGAAAAAAAACTTGAAAAAATTATAAATCAACCCTGTATATTATTTCTCAAAACTCGAAAAAAAGGACTTCGTTGCATACTGAGTCTAAAAGTGCCACTTTTCAGGAGTACTTATGAGCTTTATATTTATGAAAATAAACTTTGAGGTGTCATTTATCGACAAAAAAAAACAGTTCATTAGGTGAAACCCTAATGGAGATATACAATTTTGTTTGTGATAGATGACTTTTGGAACACCCTGTGTCATGATTTTTAGGGTTCAAGACATAATTCGATTCAATTTGATTTTTTCTATCAAATGACATAGATTTGAAAATAATTTGTATGCGTTCATTTTATCTTAAGGGAAAGGCACATCCAAGTCCAATAAATTCCGCACAATAACTATTCTGTACTTGTAGGTATTTTCGTTTTCGGTTACTTTCAATCGTAATACATTATACATCACGTCATGAGTGATACACAACCGCTAATATCAGGTGCAGACCGTTACTCAACTGATGGTAGTAATTAGAATGGAAGACGATCGCTGATTAACAAGTAAGATAAAACTAAATTTTAGCAAGGTATCAACGATAATATCATATTCATATAGGTTATCTGATTGGCTTCAACATTTCTCTTTCAAACCAGTCGATCAACAGTATGAAACATTGGATGATGATAATGATCATACTCGAATTGAGACAGTTATTGGATACTTTCAACTTGTAAGTGTAGCAAAAGAGAATACATATTTAACAACGGAATGTTTGTTTAACTTTGTGGTAGTTTCGTTTTGCTGATCGGCTTGATCTTCTGATGATAGCTCTTGGCTTATGTTTCGTCTTACTCGATAGTATTTTCTTCACAGCACTACTTGTTGTTTGTGGTCAAGTTACGAGTGCATTTGCGTTGGAATCATTTATTGATCGATGCTCTCTACAGCAAAACACATCGATTACTGCTGACAATAGGCTAGGAAGTCCATGGAGTGCTGAAAGAAATAGCGTCAACTATAATCGGCCGCAAAAGTAAGTCATGATCACGTAAACAGTTGATGTGATCAAGTTTCTATATTTATTCACTGTTCATTGATATTAGACTTTCCGTGAATGAGGGTACCATCTTAGCGCCACTATGGTCGTTTTCTATGGCCAAACTTAATGCTGATGTAAGAAACAAATTACGCTGGCTATTAAGTAAGCAAAAATAATCTAACTCTTCAGGCATCAAAGAAAATAACGGTTTGCATTCTGAATGAATGTAGTCATCGGTATAATGGAAATAGTGTGTATTATTCTCCGTTATTTTCTCTTCACTGTGACCGCTAGACGGCAGACATGTCGAATACGTATTCGTCTTTTACAGTCACTGCTCCAACGCGTAAGTCAAACGCATTTATCTTTACGCAAACATAACGAGTGGGGTACAATAAGTGATCTCTTAACAGTTTACTCGATATCTCCATTGATTATCATCGTCCAGTGTAGTGCTTTGTTTAAAAGAAGAACTGTGCAGTTCTCTACAAAAATAGGATACTGTGAAACACAACTGAGGATGTGCGTTGCAATAAGTTGTGAGAAAAGTGATCCTTCCTCATCCTCTCTCACGAACCGTGACAAATATGGCTGGAGTGTTCATTATTTCTATCGCGGTCGGTGACATTTTCAAGGTATTCTCGATGTATTGTAAGCCAGTTGCCGAAAATATTGTGACAGGTGCACATAAGCTACTCGGTTATAGTCCCAGTAACTTCATGATGTTCTACATTTTAATCCTATAGGGATCACTCTGGAAGCTTTTTTATTAGATAAAGGCACTCTTTTATATCTTTGAAACGTCACGGAACCGCATAGAACCATTAGATACAATTTTCAAACAATTTTGTTTTTCTTAACTTTTTTTCGTGTGACATTTTAACTCTTACCCTGTCGTAGTTTGTTTTGTAATGTTTTCACCGTTCATTATTTCAAGAAATTTCTTCAAGTTAACGTTATATATGATGAGTTGGCTCGCAGAAAAAAATTAGAATCTCTAAATGGATTATAATAAAAGTCTCAATATTTCAGGAGTTAAAATATTTGTAGAAAAGAATGAAAAAATAAAAGTGACTCAAAAACTATACTTACGAGGAAACATTCCCAAGTGTCCGATCGCTTTTGAGTTCGGACTCTATTCATAAGGTAGACCCCAGTGAGGTATGAAAACTTCAGAAGAATAAGTGCCCTTAGGCCTTCTGTCTAGAGTTATAGGCATTTTACTGGAATTTAGCCTTTGGCATGGTATATATCGACAAATCGAATGATGGTATTTCGACCTGAGATTTTGCCCACAGATAGATCTATTTGTGAGTAGAATACTCTGAAAATTTCAGCTCAAAAGAATGTTTTCTTCCCGAGATATTAAAGTTGCAAAAAAACAGCAAATTCTAGCATCTTTCTTGGTATATGATTGATTTTTGGGATTTTAATATCTCGGGAAGAAAACATTCTTTTGAGCAGAAATTTTCAAGGTATTCTACTCACAAATAGATCTATCTGTGGGCAAAATCTCAGGTCGAAATATCATCATTCGATTTGTCGATATATACCATGCCAAAGGCTAAATTCCAGTAAAATGCCTATAACTCTAGACAGAAGGCCTAAGGGCACTTATTCTTCTGGGGTTTTTCATAACTCACTGGGGTCTACCTTATGCATAGAGTCCGAACTCAAAAGCGACCGGACACTTGGGAATGTTCCCTCGTTAGTGTTTCCATAAAGTTTTTTGACCTTTGGAAAATGAAGGCTATAGTCATCGAATAAAATATGTCATTTTGTGGAGAATGACAAACCATATATTTTGTAAAAAGAGTACAAATTAGAATGATGGCAATCAATGAAGACATTGAAAAACAACGAAGGAATCACTTATCCAGATGCACCCGTCAGAACTTCGTGAAAGTTCATTGTTGTACATGTAGATTGTTTCTCTCTCTTTCTCTCTTATTTGTAGAATATCGCCTATTACGATATGAATTCAATTGGTCAGTTCAGTGTCAAACTGTTCAAGTAAATCATTTTTGTCAATATTTGAAATAGAAATAATATCTGGCTTTCTCATCTCATAGCAACATTGATTATTTGAGTAGCGGCATCGGTTTCGAATTATCAACGGTGCTCGTAGCATTATTTTCTACTATTAGCAGTTCTTGTGTGGCTTTAATCATCAATTGGAAGTTGACACTCATCATACTGTGCTTTGTACCATTAACTATTGTCGGCTCATATGCTTTTTCAAAGGTAAATGCAATTGCTAATGATTGATTTAGCTTATACTAATTCTAAAAGTTAACTGCAAAAGAGTCAAGAAACGAATTGGAGACGTACTCAAAGGCGGGAGAAGTCGTCCAGGAAGTGTTCAGTTCTCTTCGTACTGTGCTGTCACTTAATGGTGAAAAATTTGAAGAGAAACGGTAAGAAATATACATACTCATAAGTGAACTTTTTAAGTCATGAGCCATGACCATGTTGGAATATTATTGCGCATTTAGATACGAAAGTAAATTACAGACAACTCGCTGGAGCAGTGTACGTAAGGGTGCTGCGTTTGGCCTCTTCGCTGGATGGATCTCTCTCATAGGAAACACCATTTATTCAGTTGGTTTCGCCTCTGGTTTATCTCTCATGCATCATGCAGGACGTGACATACTTTATTTCAGTGATGTTCTTGTGGTAAGTCATTCCATTCATAAATTTGGCTGCCAAAACCAATAGGTTCTCGATGTTTGAGTAGATAGTGATTATTTTGGCAAGAACTGCCAGTCATATAGCCTTTCATAGTTCTTTCTTTCAATCATTGGAAGAAACTCGAGGTGCTCTAACACCCATATTCAGATTGATCGACGAGGTAAAGTTTTGCTTAATTTTACGATCTGGTCTCTTTCCCATTATATCATTTATAGGAAGAGAAAACAAGTATAAATGAGACACAAATATCGGAAGATTCAGTTGCTTGTGCAGAAGCTATAAACATGAATGGTGATATTCAATTTGAGAATATTGACTTCGCTTATCCAGCTCGACCTGATGCCTTAGTTTTACGCAATCTCACACTGACGGCTCGTACAGGTGAGATAACAGCTTTAGTTGGTTCAAGTGGCTCTGGTGGGTATTTTGCAAAAAAAAACAAATTTGAGTTTAAGAGTCTATTCTTTGTTGAGCGAATAGGTAAGAGTACATGTATTTCTCTTCTACTTCGTTTTTATGAACCTTTGTCGGGTCGTATTGCAATCCAGGATCGCTCTATCACCAGCTGCAATTTGAAACAATTACGACAGAATATTGGTGTGGTCAATCAAGAACCTGTATGTTCGTCTACTTTTATTCTAATTTTGCATGTGATATTGTTCTATGTAGATTCTATTTGCCACAAGTATCTATGAAAATATCCGCTTTGGTAAGGAAAATGCAACAAGAATGGAAATCGAAGAAGCAGCACGTCAAGCCAATGCCCACGATTTCATTATGCAGTTACCTAATGTTTGTATCGAATGTTCTTTTCCAATACCATGTGCTTTGTTTTCTGTTTTCGTAGAAATATGACACAATCGTCGGTGAGCGCGGTGTTCAATTGAGTGGTGGTGAAAAACAACGTGTGGTTTTGGCTCGTGCTCTTGTTAGACAGCCAGCCCTGCTTCTGTTGGACGAAGCAACGAGTGCTCTTGATAATGCCAATGAAAAGATCGTCCAAGAAGCACTCGATCGAGCTTGTAAAGGTTCGTACATATCTTTCTGTTTCAATCATATCATCTATGGCTACACATAGGTCGGACAACTATTGTGATCGCTCATAATTTGGCAACGATTCAAAATGCGCATCAAATTTATGTGTTGCATAATGGATGTGTCATCGAACAAGGTACACACGAGACATTGATGTCAAAAGAAGACAGTCAATATCGCAAGATGGTGAAAGCTCAACAGAGAGTAAAAACAGAAAATGATATCGATGAAACAACAAGCCTCAAACAAATAGAAGAAGATGATCAAAAACAAATATGTACGTAAATACTTTTAACAGAAGAATATTTCAAAGGCGATCATTTTCTTTTTAATCAGTGGAACACGCTCGACATCATAGCTATGATGAGTTTGAATGTGGAGACAAAGTAAAGAAGATGAATACACTTGTGCCGAGATGGTTTTTGCGTTTACAGTGTACTTTTAATAGACATCATCGACTACAAATCAACTGCCTGTTTTCTTGCGACTTTTATTGCTGAACAGTCCAGAATGGATCATCATTCTAATCGGCTGCATGACTTGCCTCATTGGTGGAGCAGGTCAATCAATCCAGGTCATTCTACTCACAAATACAATTTCTGTAAGTCATTTTCTTGTACAACAATATCAACATTGACGTGATTGGTTGTTTCCAGCCGTTTGGAGCGTGTACCTATGAAGAACGACGCCATCAAGTTCTGAAATTTTCCCTTCTAGTTTTGTTGATGGGTGTTGCGTTTTTGGTCATTCGTTTCATACAAGTAGGAATATTATTCATACAGTGTTTCATATTTTTTACATTATTAGTACAGTGCATTTGCTGTATCTGGCTCAAAATTGACCGAACGTATTCGTGCAAAAGCTTTTGCACACCTTCTGCGTCAAGAAGTGGCTTTCTTTGATCGTCCTGAAAATAGTTCTGGAGCTATTTGTAACCGTCTCTCATCCGATGCGTTGGCTATTCAGCAGATGACTGGTACTCGTCTAGGCATCATTTGTGAATCAATCGCGACGTTTGGAATCGGATTTGTCCTTGGAGTTTTGGTCTGTTGGCAATTGGCTTTAATCGTGCTCTTCTGCATTGTCGTTATATTTGTTCTCGCTTGCATACAGATATATTGGCAAGCACGATTGAACAAACGTTCTGATTGTATACTTGGATTAGCAAGTTCGGTAAGACCAACATTTCGATGCCAATGTCATGTACACTGAACTATTGATAGTGAAATTTCTTTTATTAATAGCTCGCCGTCGAAATCATTCACAATATGCGCACAGTGAAGCAGTTGGCAAGTGAAACAGAATTCATACGTCAATTTTCAGATTTAGTTCTTAAAGAGTTCAAGTCAGTCTTCAAATCGCTTTATACCTTAATCTTTATACATTAGGTTCCCATAGAATTCGTCAAAATGATATAATAATATCTTCGCTACTACATAGTATCCATTGGGGCATTGCGTCATTCATCTTGTTGTTTCTTTGTTGGCAGGCTCTCATCCTTGTTGAGCACAAAGAGTTGAAGATAAACAATATCTCTATGTACGCAAATAGAAAGCTTTATAACCTATTTTACCTACATGTTTTTCTAGTGTGTTTGCCTATTATACTTTCTCCACAGAATCTCGGCGATTCATCACAATCTTGTAAATTATTGCGACGATTGATTTCTTTTTCTCGAGTGCTCTTGTTTAGAACGCGTCAACTAAGTGATTCATTATCAGCAGCTCGAAGTTTCTACAATTTGTTCGATCGAATATCAATTATCGACAACTGTTCCATGGATGGCCAACCATTGGTGAGTGATTCATTTAGTAAAAGCTTGAGTTTCGAACAGATTACTTTTATCTCATTGTTGAAATGTGTTGATGATAGAGTGATTTCAAAGGTAAAATCGAATTTGACCAAGTCAAATTTGCGTACGCATCTCGACCGACATCCTATATTTTGAATAAATTTCAATTGATCATCAAACCTGGTGAGTTTATCCCATGTATCTTTAGTTTAGTTTGTGATGATATCTATCTATTTGTCAATTAGGTCAGCGTGTGGCTCTTATAGGTATGTCGAAGTCAGTTGTTGTCCATCGAAAATATTTATATAATGTATTTACTAAAGGTGCGTCTGGATGTGGCAAATCGACAGTCATTCAGCTCTTAGAACGATTTTACGATCCCATACAAGGTCAAATTGTGAGTATTTCTTTTTCTTGCTGTCAGCAGATTCGTGTTAACACTCAGATATTGAAATCTAGTGTTTCGATGGTGTTGACATTCGAAAACTGAATATTCAAGGACTTCGCTCGTGCCTTGGGCTTGTTAGGCAAGAGCCTATCTTGTTCAATTTGACTATTGCTCAGAACATAGCATATGGTAAAGAGAATACTTCTATTGAAAATATTATCGATGCAGCCACCAAAGCCAACATTCATGATTTCATTCAACAGTTACCTCAAGTAAGTAAAAAATAACACATGATATTTGATTGTTTTTGTGTCGTTACAACAGGGCTATGATACCAAAGTGGGCATGAAAGGTGGCCGCTTATCAGGTGGTGAGAAACAACGTATTGCCATTGCTCGAGCTCTTCTTCGTCGACCAAAAGTATTGCTGTTAGACGAAGCAACAAGTGCCATGGACTCTTACAATGAACAGGTTCGTTTTGTTTTAATGATTTTTGTTAATGAAATAGCCGTGTCCAATATATTCAGATGATGCAAGAAGCTCTTGAAAGAGCTCAAACAGACGATCAAAGTCAAACTTCACTGATCATTGCTCATCGTCTATCAACTATTCATTCATGTGATTTGATCTGTGTTCTTGACAAAGGACGTCTGGTAGAAAGTGGTACACACGCAGACTTAATGGAACGACGTGGAACCTACTATTATATGATTGCTCGCAGCAGTACTTCATAAATAGTTTTCGTCATTATTGCAACGACACTAACTAGCAATTGAAACGAACTGTTCTCCTTTTCTTTTCGGCGTTAATTTTTCGAACGAATTTTTTTATTAATTTTCTTCCCTTAGCAACTCAGAAGATATATTGACAAATTTAAGCAGTTTTTCTAATTGAACTCATCAAGATGATTGATAGAGCAGAGAACAAGTCTCTCTAACGGTCTTGTCAAATGCCTATTACTTCGACCTTTATGGATTCGTTAAAAACATCTTGTAAAGCAGCAGTTAGTTGTAATCAACAGCTGTCTACAAGATATTTTTAACGAATTCATATAAAAATTACAAATTTATTGAGCGGGTGTTTCTCTTTTTTCTCGTCTACTTTCTCTTATTAATATATCACAAATGTAAACCATATACTGTTCGAAAGAGAAGATAATTTCCTATCAACTAGTGGCAGTGCCGCAAATGGGTGCATGGGTGTGGTGGGTGTGAGCGTTACAGTTCTTTTCAACAACACTCACACCCATACCCACACCCTCGTCGTCGTTCAATATTTTATGAAGCATTTACAAATATATCTCATTTTGATAATTCAATATCAGCATTTTCATCAATACACACTTATCTAGATTTATCATTACATGTAACACATGATCATGATGATGATGGTTCATGAAATATTGACCAAGATTTAGACTCCAATCTTCAATCAAAAGGAACACATACACCATCGAGAAGAAATGTGGAACCAACAGATAAATGAAGAGACTCCGATCTGATTTCTTTTTATTTTGTCTCTTAATACAGTAGTTAGAATTTTGTTCTGGTTTTGTTCACTAAGTGTTAAAAGATCTAATGTGTAAGTGTGTTTTTCTCATCTGATAATATATCTGTATTTCGTTTTTTTAACAGTAACCTTTATTATTCATACAAATTAAGATGGAAGTCTCAAATTGATATTAAAATCAAAATAAAAAAAGATTCGATATTTTCTAACTAATCAATAGTATTGTTTTTTGAGTTTGTAATCTTATCTCACTCATATGCAGCATCATTTAGGGTTTAAAGTTACTAAAACTTTTTAGTAAAAACTTAACCACAATGATTTCATAGAAAAATGAAATCATGACTGAAAATTGATCAACAATTTTAGTCTGTATTTCTCATTGCTCGTAAACATGAAACAACAGAAGTTTATCCATAAACATTATGTTGTCTTTTTAAAACAAATTAATGGTGATAGTTCCATCTAAATTTTCCTGAAGAACAGCGTGAAAACATGGATGCAAGAAACACTTTTTGTATTCTATATTAGAAGCGTATCGGTGTGAATGCGAGCTGCAAGTGATTGTCTGGGCGTGGGTATCAGTATAGCTGCGGAGACACGTATCGGTATGGGGCTGGCTGTGGGCTTAAGTGTGGGTGCGTCGTTTTTCTTTAATCACATCCATACCCAAGCCAACATTTATACTCTGTTGGCATTTGATGAATAAAATTTCATGCTGAAACAATACCATCAATTAAATAAAATAAAAAGAATATCTATTTTTTTTTTTCTTAAAAATAATGGACGTGATTAGAAGAACTATATTTACACTTTCATTTATATTTGATAGCTTGGCACATATTTATTCTTAGTAATTGTTTTTTTAACAATATCTATTTCGAAGTTGCCGATTTCATTTAAGAGATTAAATCACTCGGCATTAGTAGTGATGACAACATCTGTAAAAAAAAGTTTTAAAATTTTATTTTAAAGTTTGTCTAACATCCATAAACTAATATAAACTATCACTACACAACAAGAAAAGTGAATAAGAAAAAAAACCAATAGTCGAGCAAGCTAAACTCAAATTCTTTTTTTTTTCTTTATTGAAATAAGACTAAAAAATGACAACACAGACTCTATACTAAGATAGATTAATGGTGCTTATTTTGTTTATATATACTGTTATATGAAAAAAAACTACGTGAAAACAATAGTAACGAAAAACCAAAGATTTTTTCTATCACAACATGTAAGTTTGTATTGAGTTTTATTATTTAAGTAAAATTGTTTAATTAAAGTTGTTGTTGTTTCAGTGCAGATAAATCTTGTCTTGACAATGATAAAACTCCCATTTGCAATTGATGTTTTGTTGGTTGTTGATGAAGTTCTGTTCGTCGTTTTAAAACTGGAATAGCAAATAAAATCAAACCACCTATTAATATTGAACCGCCAGATATTAAATATGGCCAGAGATATGGTCGATTAAAATCTGAAAAAGCATCACGCATTGTGCCTGAAAGAAATCAATTATATTTAAAGAAAGTTTTTCATCATTTATTTTCTTCTTACCAACAATTGGTGTTCCAAGAACAACAGCAGTACCTTGAAATAATAAAAGAACACCAAAAGCATCAGATAATTTATCAACACCTACTAAATCTACAATAATAATTGATGTTAGACCAACATTACCACCAGAAAAAAATCCAAATATTCCAGCATAAGTCATATGTGTATGAACAAAAGAATTACAAAATGGTGCAAACATTGTTGCTATACCAGTAATTATTAATCCTGTATTGTATAATGTTAAACGATTAACCTATATGTAAAAGAAAAATGAATAGATTATATAGAAAAAATTATTTTGTTGTTTTTTTTTTGTTACCCATGATCGATCAGCTAAATAACCAATAATAACTCGACCAACACAATTAGTTAGACCAATAGACATAATAATCCAATGTCTTTGATGTTCAACTACTTTCGTATCAGTAGCTAAATCATTAGCAAAATTGTATGGAACATAAAAACCAAGACTTGTCAAAAAATTTGATATTGTAAATAAAGCAAATGCAGCATCTTTTAATAAATTAAAATCAATTTGTTCAGCAATTTTTGCTAGAAATGATTTTTTTTCAGCTTTGTTAATTGTTTCATTTTTCATATCACTTGTTTTTATTACTTGACGATGATAGTCCTCAGTATCCTCGTTATATAATGGAATATTATGTAAACTACCTTGATAAATCGCATCTTTACGTGAAACTACGACTGGTAAATTCGTTGTCAGTGTTTCGAATACATTTTCATGAGATCCTGAAACAGTTTTGTTTGTTGAATGATTAATGTAAAGGTTATTGGTCTTCATATCTGATAGTGACACTCGACGTTTACCATCAGATAAATATTTCTCTTCAGTAGGAACAACAGAAGCTGGTTCTCTTATAACTACATCTATTTTTTGTAATGGAATATCACTAAAACAAAATACAAATCATTGATGAATCATGTACAACGAAAGACTATCTGCATGTTGCAACTATATAAAACAAGAAACATATTTCTAAAGAATAAATCATCATCATCATCATCATCCTTTGGTCTCATATCTTATGTATTTGTTTTTATCATAGTCCCTTTTATTTAAAGAATTCAAATGAATATCTAGAATTCCATCTATCCTATAGATAAATATTTACACAATTAATAAATCTAAATTTCAAACCTTTTTTCATTCATCGGAAGTAACTGACTTTGTTGTTCATCATTTTGACTAGCAGCAGTTCCTGCTTTGAATGCTTGTCGTTTAGCTTCTGCTCGTGATTTTCGTTCTATACGTCTTATTTCACTTGGTTCTTGTGGCAATGGAATCTGAAGAAGATTAAATTTTTAAAGTTTTCTTTTTATCAAAATAAACAATACCATTAAAGCACCAAATATAACACAAATAAAGATAATTGCTGCCTCGAGTAGAAGAACACCTTCATAATCGAACCACAATGGTGCATTCATAGCATATGGCATAACAGCTGGAAATACCAATGTGCCCAAACCTGAACCACAAACAGCAATTCCCATAGCAAAAGAACGTCGCCTTTCAAAATAGAAACCAACCGAAACAATAGCAGGTAAATAGATTAAACCAAAACCAATGCCTATTGACATATAAATCTACAACTATCAAAACACAAGAATTTCTTGTAAAACATACCTCCAATAATACCAATGGCAAGATAATAAAACCAAAGATTCGCCCAAAAATAACTTGCTAAAAAACCAGCAGCAGCAAGACAAGCTCCAACTATTGTTACCTTTCGACATCCATATGTATTTGTAAATATTGTTGCAATAGGTCCTAAACATTTACTATTTGATAAAAAACATATCTTGAAAGAAAAGTTGTTCACCTGTTACAAGTGTTATTGCCGGTAAAATTCCAAAAATAGTTGAAACAGATCCTCGAGTTTTATTTAGATTTTCTATCATCGGACGTAAAAATAAATCACCCATTGAATATGTTATTCTATTATTTTAAAATAAAATTACGATTTCCAGAAAATAATTTACTAACCCATCCATTATAAAATGTATCATAAGAGATGCAAATACAATAATCCATCCCCAACCACCATCAATCACGACAGCTCGAGGAACTGCACTGTTTATATTACCGGCATTCGTCATTTGTAATCTTTGATCCTGAAATAACAAAAAGAAAATGGAAATAAAGTAAGTGTCTACATATAATATCATCAAATGAAACAGAATGAGATTCGAAAAAAAGTGTATTCAGCAATAAAAACAAAATAAGCTAGAGGAATTTTTTTCCACATAATTTCGAATGAATTGTTTAACATTAGTTTATTTCAAGGATTATTTTCTTTGAACGTCGCTATAAGACGAACAAACAAGACATGAGCATTTCTAGAGCCCTCTTTCTTTCTTCATCAAATTCAGAGTGTGGGTGTGCATGAAGAAAAGTATCACATTCATATTCATACCCTTAAGATGAACACTCACTTCTCAATCGTTATTGATCCATTGTTTACAGTCATGCTTTGATGATGGCGTGATTAATATTATATCGTCATAGTTTCCTCCATTTTATACTCATATTTATTCTCCGTTTTGTTTGTATCTCATTGGTAAGCGCTTCAAAGTATCACCAATAAAATACGCATTATAAAAAAAGAACCATCTACCTGTATATATTGTCGTATTATATCTTTCTAATCGTTCGTCGTTGTTCAAATTAAAAGAACAGAAAGAAACGAAGATTCATATTACTTTTTATTCGATCACGACAGAAAAAAAACATTTTTTGCAATTGATACCAACGTTGAATAAATGATGCTTATTATTTCCAGATTAAAATATAACCATAGTTAAAATAGAAACTAAAACAAAAATTCAACTAAGAAAATATTTTGTTTTTTTTTCTATTCTTCTGTACTTACATACTGAACAGTATTCTGCTTAATTGGCGTGCTAAATGATCAAGATAGCGTCAGCACATTATTGCACCGAAACGATTAAAAGATACTATGTATGTAAGAGCCTATAGAACATTGTTATTACATATGTTTTATTGATTTGGCAAAGAAAGTAAAGAAAGAAAGAAATGTTTTCATTAATGGTGCATTAGAAAACTATGTTCAGATGAAACCCACGGATGCCATTATTAAACAGAATCTTTTTTCAGAAGAAAACTTCTCACACGTTTATTATAATATAGGATAACTATAAAAAGTGATATTCCCATGTATCTAAGAAGAAGTGTAAAGAAAAATCTTACAAAAATGGCATAATTATGCAATATGAAGACTTCTGTTTTGTGGAAACAACATATGTTTTCGAAGAAAATAGTGCGCGTAAATTTCAAGTTGACGTTTTTTATCATCCCCTCCCATTACGAATAACTCTTCACTACAGGCTTTATCAATCTCGCATAACATGTGTCAGAATTTCTAGAGTTTTTATGAAAATTGATCAAGTTATAATTTTGAAAGATAATTAACAAGATTGTTTGTGAGTTCATGAACATACAGAATAGTATGTGAGATTTGTATATATTATGAATGTGTAAAACATGCTCATTTACTAATTCATTCAATGATTGTAATAATAAAAATGTTAAATTAAGAAAAAAATAAATAAAAAAAAAATAAAAAATAATGAGTAAATAGTAACAATACAAATAGAAATACGGTGCCCGTAGAAAAAATAAAAAAATTCTGTTCGAAATCCAGAAATTAGAAGGGTTCTCACTATGATGTTTGATTATCCTACAAAAAGACTGATCTACAAGAGATTTTTCACTTAATGTATTTTTGCATTAGTTTAGTGAGGTTAGAGAATACATATGACTTTCACATTACAACCTCAAAGGAGCTGCATTAACAAACTTTTTGCATCGTATTAATAGAATATTATTCCTTCAATTGTAGGGAGGGTCATATGAAATAAAATGCGTTTGTATGTATGTATTTATGTGTCAAGATAAAAAAAAACATCAGAGACGACCCTCGTGAAGATGCTCATACGGTACTGCTCATGAGGTTTGAGTACTTGTCTTGTGAAATCGAGTAATTCGCTAATATTCATTATACATTTTCTAAGTACTCTAGTGGTTTTTTGTAAAATACTCATACACATATTTTTGTTCAGCATTGTTATACTATATTCGTTTTATTTTATTAAAAAATTAGCAATGAAGCAAAAGTGTATATTATGAAAATGTGAGAAGGGAAGATGCCACATTGTTTTTATTTTTTTATATAGAGTATAGCGATAGACGCTTTATCTTTAGAAAAAAAAACAGCGCATGAAAACACTTAAAGACAGTATAAAAATATTCAAGACAAGTGCGCACTAAATTATTCTCTAAATTAAAACATTCGATAATAATAAATGCAAATACACAGTACGAAAAAAAACAAAAAACACAAAAACAAACATTATAAAATTATAACTAGATTTAATTTAAAAATACATAGAATAATGAATAAATAAGTTTAGTATCCTATGTATAACGCGCATACCTTAAGAATGTTGAATTCAGAGTGATCTGTATGAAAAATTATTATTTATCATTTCTTTCAATAATTTTATTTATCAATTAGAAATATTGTTTATTAATCTGAAAGGAGATTTCATCTAAAATTTAGAAATTGAAATTCAACGAGCTATCCTTTGCACATCTTAACACATTTAATCTTACTCGAAAAATGAACAGTTGAAAATGAAAAGTCATTCTTCTTTTCGTTACATATAGTCATTGATTCACACCATAGAAGTGACTCATCAGTTTCAAAATATAGGATAAAATAAATAAGGCTTTTGAATATTTCCTTTCTATTTTTCATATAATTCCATCATTTTCATTCTTTATACAATTTTATTTTATTCTTATGCATGCTAGTGCATTAGTGTTTTGTTACATGTTCTGACAAAAAACAGGAATGAGTACTATTTTGAGTACTCATGCTGTCATCTGCGAGTAAATTTTAGAAAAACAACTCATATGAGTACTTGCTCAAGTCACGAAAATTACAACTACACCTAAAAATTCCAGGGGCGTACCTAGGTCTCCAGAGCAGGGGGGCGTAACGCCCCACTCACCCCTTCCTAGTTACGCCTCTGAAAATTTCGTGAATACTCAAATGAGTAACTTCAGTACTCATTCAGACAAGTCGTACTCTCTTGATGAGTATTTTCACTAGGGAAACTTGATTTGAGCGTAACTTCTTAAGTTTGACTAAAAAGTAATTGAGATCGGCGAATCCAAATCTGTAGTCAGATTTTACATTCGACCTTCTCATTGGCTAGAAAGGCAGACAATTAGAAGGGTGGGTGTGAGTGTGGGTGTGGATATGATTGATTCATAAAACAAAACCCACCCCACACCCTAGTGTCGACATTTTATTTCCAGTAGATCAATCTGGTCAACCATTCCGTTATTTAAGATCGAACATCCATTAGGTAAAACAATGATGTGTGATAATTGATGGCTCGGATACAACAACCATTGATTAAGGATCATCCATGGAGAATACTTGCATAAAATGGAAGGAGAAAGATAAAGAAAAACCAGACAAAATACAGTGTGTGTGTGTGTACGTGGGTATTAATAAAGAAAGCATTCACATCCACACCCATAATTCAAAGGGCAGTTCCTATTGGTGAGCATTGTAATGATTTGTATATTCCAGCCGTTTTCACTGTACATTCGCTCTACACGTCACATATCGTATGATCGTTTACCACATGCTTAACGCGATCATACTCTTTCAGTAGAGAGTTAGCGACGCTTGCGTCGCGTTACTTGTTTAAATGTCCACCTTAGAGATGAACTCAGTTGTGTCCATTTACTCTCATAATGAGTGGGTGTGAAGAGAAGACAACATCCAAACTCACATCTGGTTGAAGAAATGTGGATGGATGTTTCCAACTTGTTTTAAATCAAAGAAGAATGTTGATGTCTGCATTCTGGTTTTGTTTCTCTCGCATTCACAACGATGTCCACATCTTTGTTTAAGTAATTCTAAAATAAATTTTTAACGGTCTGTTTAATTATAATACCATCTATCGATTGTGTTTCAAATTTAATCAGTGAATTAATTGATTGTATTTAGA